GGGCAGAACCAACTGATGGCGGTGGTAGGGGCTGGTGGTATCCATCCCGGCTTCAGCATCCGGTGAGTATTCGCGGTAGAGGAGGCCCTGGTGAACACAGAAGGTACTGCCATTGACGGGAGTCTTGTGTCGGCCAGTAGCATAGTCCCAACATGGGCTAAGAGATGGGTCACGCCGTTGCTCGTCGGCAAAACGGGTGGCATCTGGCAAATCGGGTGCAGAGAGAGGCGGCGATGTCACCTCCGTTGTGCTAGATTGGTCCGCCGGCAGTGCACGCAAAGAAGCTGCATTCGAGGCCAAATCCTCAAACAGTTCATCCTCGAACGGGAAGATGTCGTGCAAACCAGCAGCACCAGTCGACTCGGGTGAAGCCTTGGCCTGTGCATGCGTAGAGACCAAGACGTCCGTGGCGGCTGGCTGACACAGCCGGACCAACTCATGTATATGGGGCACATCATAGCCAAGCAACACGTGACGGGGCAGGTTCTCGGACACTGCTGCCTTGACGTAGTACACCATGCCGTCGATGGTGGAGGTCAGATCGGCCATGGGGTAACTGGCCACATCACCGTGGGAACAACGAATGGAGGTAGTCTCACCAGACAAATCCTGGTCCCGGACCAAGGTCCTGTGTACCATGGTGCGGCCACGCGCGGTATCAACAACAATGCTCGGGACGTGGGTACCATTCACGTACCCAGCGATGGTGTACTCGGGTGCTGGTCCCATGGCGGCGCTGGGATTAGCGAATGGCAACCGACCAGATTCTACAGGTGGAGGGGGTGAGGAGAAATATGCTTCACCCAGCAGATCATCCTCATCCGGCAGCAAATGAACTGTACTAGCATCTTGGACTTCCTGATCTGGGCTGGAAAACAAAGCGGTGCGAGTGTGATTCGCACACTTAATAGCAATATGTCCCAGCTCTCGACAATTATAGCAATGCGGCTGCGACATGGGGCGTCTCGGTGGTGGCGTGGGACGGTCAGGACGAGAAGTCACTGGGCAGTCAGATGACAAGTGGGTCTGACTGGGGTTATCTGGGGAAGATACTGGCCGGTCCCGCGCAGAGCCTGAGGTCGGTGCAGACCAGCGAACTCGAGCAAGGTTGGATGACTCGGACGTCCGGTCTCGGCGTGACGCAAATGTCCCCTGCACCTGGGCACGTGTATCAGTGTTCGGCAATGGTGCTCGTCGCTTAGAACAATCCATGGCCATGTGGCCACGCTGCTGGCAAATGTGGCAGACAAGAGACTGTTCCCTGACGCTGCTGAGACGACCACTGCTGGGCTCCTTTACGCGGTCCGTGCGTCAAGATAATCCTGCGCTAGCGAAGCAGCCTGGGCGAGGGACGACGGTTTGCGTTCCCGCAGCCAAGTGCGTAAACCAAAAGGCAGCGCAGACAAGAACTGTTCCAGTAGGATCAACTCACATATGGCTACCCGCGAGGATGCGGGGCTTAGCCAACGACTGCCAGTGTCATGGACACGGACGGCGAAGTCAATCATGCACTCCGAGTTCTGCACCGTAGTGCCCCGAAATTTACGGCGGCTTGTTTCGGCGGTAACTGCATAGCGATGGCCTCCTTCACACGGTCGTAGCTGTCAGCCTCGGTGGAGGCAAGTTCTGGGTATGCCAACAAGGCCTTGTTAGTCAGATGGGGTTTAGCAAATAGACCCAATCGTCCGGAGGAACTCTGTACGCCCGCATTGATCGTTCCAAACTGGTGAGGAATGCCTCAACATCGTCCCCAGGGCGCAGTTTAGCCAGTGGCACCTTCTGAGAGAATCACCGTGTGGCCTGAGTGAGTTGTACTTGCGCCATTTGCGTGACCAACTGCATGAGCATCGACAGCTGGGACGGCGAGTTGACATCGACACTATTGACATCGGTGGCGGAACGCTGTTCGTGTTCAGCCTCAGCCTCAGGGTTCTCAGCAGCAGGATCGATGTGCACATGCACGTGCTGGGCATGCGGACCTGCGGGTGTACGTGTACTGCTGGGCATGCGGACCTGCGGGTGTACGTGTACTGCTGGGCATGCGGACCTGCGGGTGTACGTGTACTGCTGGGCATGCAGACCTGTGGGTGTACGACTAGTGCTAGTGCTGGCCTAAGCCTGATCACTCAGTTTGTGCGTACTAGTACTACCAGTATCTCCACACACGGGATTCTCACCAAAAGCAACATGTACGGGCTGACGGTGGACGTGGACCGCTTTTGGTTCCGGAATAGAGCATGCAACCTTAGTATGGCTATGTGTAGGCCCAGTACGAGTACGACGTGTAGCTGAAGCCAGTGCAGGTGTGGCATGCGTATGGTAAGCACTAGGACTAGGAGTAGGACCCTGATTGGCCTGAAACTGCGACTGGTTCATTGCAAAGGACTGCTCACTGTTGTAATCTAATTTGTTGCTCACAATACTGTTGCCGAAATAAGGATTATCACTTACTTTCAGCAAGCGAGGTTTTGGAGACGGTGCGGGACGAAACAAATCCATCGGTGGAGAAGGGAGGGTCGACCTGGTAGCCGCATCAGGTAAGCCAGTGAGCTCGTCATCATCCGGGGCCACCTCCTCGAACTCAAAGTGGATCTCCCGATCCATCCGCGCACTGCTGTGCGATACGGACAGGATCCCCCGCACAAGATCAGAGCGTGCACCACCGGTGGGGAGATGCAGCCCCCGGCTGATGTCCCTCAACTGCTCGTGGCGAGCAAACGCCAATGACTCGAGATCCATGGCTAGCTCATCAGGTAAGCCAATGAGCTCGTCATCATCCGGGGCCACCTCCTCGAAATCAGTGTCGATCTCCCGATCCATCCGCGCACTGCTGTGCGATACGGACAGGATCCGCCGCACAAAATCAGAGCGTGCATCACCGGTGGGGAGATGCAGCCCCCGGCAGATGTCCATCAACTGCTCGTGGCGAGCAAACGCCAACGACTCGAGATCCATGGCTAGCTCACTTGCGGCCCAACGAACTCGAAAATTCGAAAAACTAGAAATAAAAATACGCAAACTTTCAGCAACTACGGAGGTACGCAGTACTGACACACAGTGACTGGACCACTTCTGACACCATGTGAGGGAGAGGACAAACCAACAACTCACTCTTGTTCGGCTAACCGACAACTAACCCTGAAGGGCTGTCATCCATGTTATTTATATTGGTGTGGTTAACTATAAAGTTGTACAATATGTGAGTACTAGAAAAGGTACCGGTAGTACGGGAAGTAGTACGCAGCATGCTATTCTAATGTCATATATAGACAGGTGTGAATATGAGGATTGGAAGGTTATAGTTATATGTATAGGGATATTTAATGGCACCAAAATTAATGATATAGTTACAATATCATCACAGGAAGGCATCCAGGTAACAGCGAAGACGATCAGGGACACGGAGAAGCTCCTCCGTGACATACGACATCGCGGTAATCGACCTTCGACTTGGAACGGTTTCAGCGGGGATGAGTCGCGCGATGGCAACCCAGACTGAGACTCTACTCCGACTAATCGATCCTGTAGATATTGTAGAAATGTCGATTGAATGTGTTGAAGTGTTTCTCTTCCAAAAGAACAATTTTGTTGAGCTCAGTAAATCCTTGAAAGCTTGATGAAAAGTAATGTCAAAAAGTCACGAAGTCACGAAGTTTTTCTTTCCGGTTGAAGTAGTAGGGCATCCATTTTTTCTCCTGAGAACCCGATCGGGTGGTTGGAGTACAGTGTTTTTGCAACGGTGCATGTAAATAGCATGGCTATATGTACATGCTGCTGTACAATTTCTATGTAGCGCAAGTGCACACTCACAGTACAAACTGTGTCAAAAATACCCGATAGAGTACCCGCGCTACCCGGATAAAATACCCGGACCCGTTACCCGACAAAACCCCTACCCGTTGCAGCCCTAAACTAATGCACTTCTTAACCTCTAAAAGTCATTGAAATCAATTGCAAGTTGTAATTACTTCCTCCGTATACAAAAACTTCGTGACTTTTTTGAAAGCTGCGCACAGCTCTGAGATTGTTCCGTTTGACTCGGAATAATACTCGTGGCATTGTCTAACCTATTTACAAGCTATACAAAGAAAAAAGCAACTCAGTAGAACGAGATTGAGTTTTTTTAGAACCTTCGTCCCTTATGTCAATGTCACCTGGCGACGCTGACTCCGCATCGCCAAAAGTCGCTGCTTCCGCTCGCATTTCGTTCAGATTCTTGTCACCTGCCGTGATGATCCGACGCTGGATTTGGCTATGTCCTCTTCATCTCTAGAGCTGTGTACGAATTGGTGTCGACTATATTCAGTCGTTCCAACCTACGACCTCCATTATGCGGTAAAACCAGTCGTACAAGCACATCCACACGCTTCGCATTTTCTCACCAGGATAATCCTCCCACGCATTCTATCATGGCTTCGAGGAGGTCCCTGTGATTCCCCTTGGCGACAAAGGAGACGTCTGACTGAATAGAGGCGAAGAAAGCCAGGCCGTCGACATTCTGATCCGGAGCCTGCGCTGGTTGCACGATGACTGAAATGTTTCATCTTGCCGTGCGAGCGAAACATATTTATGTTCTCACGCTGCGTAGCTCTATGGGGCCGCGCACCGCAAATACGAGCCTAGCCAGCTTCAGGGCAGCGAGTGCCACATGACTCCGTGTTCCAGCCACGAGCTCCACTGCGTCACTGTATAAGTTTCGAGCAAGTGTTAGTTTTTTCATTTGACTCGTGAGTTTCTGTCGGCAACATCCTCACACGCATGGCGTACGTGGAGAATCTGTTCGGGATCAACAAAAACTAACCTCGACATGAACGTGGGTTGTCGATGACAGCCTTTGGCGCCGTTTGTTGAGCCGGTTCCTGCTCAAAGATACCGTTTAAAAAAGTCACAAAGTTTTTGTATACGGAGGAAGTAGTTTGAGAGGTGAAAATTGCTGTGGTGCGACACTGGAAAAGCATCATTCATTTGGGGGGGGGAGGGAGGAGATACTTCTGACTTACCATGATTGTCATGGGAATTCTATGACGATACCAAACGATAAAGTATGACTCCGGCACTTGTTCCAAGAGATCCGGTCTAGTCACAGGTTCAGTTGGAGTGCCGATATTCACGGTTTGTCGGACTTGTTCCACATCGTCATCTTCACATGCTCTCACCAGGTCTGGATGAGGTGCATTGGTTGAGTAGTAGTGATCACTGTGCTCAGCCAACTTTGGTGGTTGATACTTGTCCTTACTCTCCTCTTCAGACGCTGCTTCCATTGCTACAGTACAAACATAAGCACATAAAAGCAATGTCTACTTGTACATGGTAAGATTGCATGGTGTGTAGGTAAATACTGGGATTGCATGGTGTGTAGGTATATACTGGGATTGCATGGTGTGTAGGTAAATACTGGGATTGCATGGTGTGTAGGTAAATACTGAGATTGCATGGTGTGTAGGTAAATACTGGGATTGCATGGTGTGTAGGTATATACTGGGATTGCATGGTGTGTAGGTAAATACTGGGATTGCATGGTGTATAGGTAAATACTGAGATTGCATGGTGTGTAGGTAAATACTGGGATTGCATGGTGTGAAGGTAAATACTGGGATTGCATGGTGTGTAGGTAAATACTGGGATTGCATGGTGTGTAGGTAAATACTGGGATTGCATGGTGTATAGGTAAATACTGGGATTGCATGGTGTGTAGGTAAATACTGGGATTGCATGGTGTATAGGTAAATACTGGGATTGCATGGTGTGTAGGTAAATACTGGGATTGCATGGTGTGTAGTTAAATACTGGGATTGCATGGTGTGTAGGTAAATACTGGGATTGCATGGTGTGTAGGTAAATACTGGGATTGCATGGTGTGTAGGTAAATACTGGGATTGCATGGTGTGTAGGTAAATACTGGGATTGCATGGTGTATAGGTAAATACTGGGATTGCATGGTGTGTAGGTAAATACTGGGATTGCATGGTGTGTAGGTAAATACTGGGATTGCATGGTGTGTAGGTAAATACTGGGATTGCATGGTGTGTAGGTAAATACTGGGATTGCATGGTGTATAGGTAAATACTGGGATTGCATGGTGTGTAGGTAAATACTGGGATTGCATGGTGTATAGGTAAATACTGGGATTGCATGGTGTGTAGGTAAATACTGGGATTGCATGGTGTGTAGTTAAATACTGGGATTGCATGGTGTGTAGGTAAATACTGGGATTGCATGGTGTGTAGGTAAATACTGGGATTGCATGGTGTGTAGGTAAATACTGGGATTGCATGGTGTGTAGGTAAATACTGGGATTGCATGGTGTGTAGGTAAATACTGGGATTGCATGGTGTGTAGGTAAATACTGGGATTGCATGGTGTGTAGGTAAATACTGGGATTGCATGGTGTATAGGTAAATACTGGGATTGCATGGTGTGTAGGTAAATACTGGGATTGCATGGTGTGTAGGTAAATACTGGGATTGCATGGTGTGTAGGTAAATACTGGGATTGCATGGTGTGTAGGTAAATACTGGGATTGCATGGTGTGTAGGTAAATACTGGGATTGCATGGTGTGTAGGTAAATACTGGGATTGCATGGTGTGTAGGTAAATACTGGGATTGCATGGTGTATAGGTAAATACTGGGATTGCATGGTGTGTAGGTAAATACTGGGATTGCATGGTGCGTAGGTAAATACTGGGATTGCATGGTGTGTAGGTATATACTGGGATTGCATGGTGTGTAGATAAATACTGGGATTGCATGGTGTGTAGGTAAATACTGGGATTGCATGGTGTGTAGGTAAATACTGGGATTGCATGGTGTGTAGGCAAATACTGAGATTGCATGGTGTATAGGTAAATACTGGGATTGCATGGTGTGTAGGTAAATACTGGGATTGCGTGGTGTGTAAGTAAATACTGGGACAGGGAACGCAGCATCTTCTTCTGCTAAACATGTATCTCAGTTCTGTCAACATGACATCTTTGAAAACTAATGAACAACTTGTTAGCGAAGTCATCATCTGTTGGACCTAGGTCGAAAGGTTGGACTGATCTACAACAAAGCCAGCCAGCCTCTAATAGTGATATAGCAGTGATGATGTAGAACTGTAAAGTGTGTTCAGCGCTGGCAGACCTAGATAACTGCTTTCTGGCACACGAACTTGACTGGGGATAGGTTTCAGTAAGTCTGTTATGTGCAATACACAACATAGTACCATTATATGAAAGCAAATTAGTGAGCAGTGGATTGCAAGCATTGTGTTGTCATGCACATGCATACTTAGTGCATCACACATACCTACACATCTTGGCACTTGCAGATATGCAGGCTGTTCTAGAACTACCTAGTGATGTTAGTTGTAATGACATTCTCCAAACTGTCTTTGTCCAGGCAAGTTTGCATGTGGATGTATGATATTGTAGTCAGGAGTCATTTTGCCAGGCGTCTTGTTTATCTCTTTCACAGGGTACTGCTGCTAGGGCTCTAGCAACAAGGGAAAACGGTCGCAGACCAGTGCAGCGCAATGGCAAACCACTCTCATGCAATGTTTTGTGCTTAATCTTTCACAATCCAGAAGATCTACTCTTGGCTTGGTCGCCGGCATTAGTTTTCCAATATGGCAGCCCACGCTGCTTCATCTCCGTAACCATCTCCGATCTCCTGTCTGCTCATTTTCTCAGAGTCGGTGATGTTTTTTTGGATTTCAGATATTGATGCGCCGGATTGCGGCACAGGCCAACATGTTTGTCTGTGGGTCTTCGGCTATCGATGACATAGTCAAAAAGCTCTAGTCTCAGGGTGCAGCCACTCGCAGCAAATAAATTCTCCGTCTGATGAAGCTCGGTAGATCTACCGAAGACGGCTTCTCAAATAAGCAAGAGTGCACTCGTATTTTTATGGAGCGAAAATCATGGAAAACACAAACTTCGCGCGAACATTCGCAGAAATATTCGCAAGCCCAGACGCGAAAATCCATGCGAACGTTTGCTCTTCAAAACCTCTCTACTAAGTTTTTTCCACTCCCGAGGCAGTAGCTCTTATCCGAGTTCCACTGCATCTCATATGGAGCCGCACGAATGGATATGTCCGACTTGCTCCAAAGGAACGCCAATACAAGCAGTGGACTCTGCAATGACCCTTGAAATCAAGTCCCACAGTTTTGTTCCTCCACAAGCTAAAGCAATCATTTCACTCACCAGTGCCACCAGCAGGTTGTTGTGATTGGCAGCCGGAGCTCTCATCCTTGCTGGACTCTTGCTCCATTGGTAACAATAGCCTTCACCAATGTTGTCACAAAACGGATACCTGAAACACAGCAACACACACTGGAATAAGCTTCCAGAAGATATCCGCTGTCTGACATCTGTTGACCGCTTTACTGTTGCTGTGTGTAGACACAATCTGAATCACAAGTATTCGGTGCAAGGTATACCGAAATTTTGCAACTAGCTTCTACTGTTCCTGTTTGCATTATTTTTATTTTTCACTTTATCATGTCCCTTCCTTCCTCTTTCATATCAGCCACCTTCACATTCTTTCCCCAGGAGCCTCCCCTTGATAGGAATCCATTTGGTTCTGGAGAATCCTTGAAAAATATATTAATAATCAATATATTACTCAATTTGCGGACAGAACTGTTTCGTCCTTTGTGGACTCGTCAGCGCAGCACAGAGGAAATGAGGCCGAACCTGATAGCAATGGAAATAAAAATTTCCAATCAGGCCCGAACGTACCTTGCCAGAGTGCTCAAACTGACAAGTCAGTGAGCTCTGCATAACGCAAACAGCAAAGGCACACGCAAGAGTGCTCAACTGCTACAAGAGCAGGAGCGAATATTATTAATCAATATATTATGTAAAAAAGAGAAGAAACACATGAGAACGAGTTATGCAGCAACTATCCACGACTGTAACGAGATGATAAACGGTCAGAAAGTTGGATAATAGGGCACAAAACTGACAGGCTACTGAGACATTCAGCGACCCGAGACCTAGCTCTAACACATCTCCAGTGCGCAAACCAACATCCTTCAAACTTGGAAGGTTCATGGTTACGTAGGACCGAAGAGGGGAAGGTGAGCGCAGCGAAAATGTGCACAAGCTACGTCCCGCGGCAACAAAGAATGCCGACTGTTACAGGACGGTGATGAGACCAGTTAATAACATGACAAAGCGGTCTGACTACAATTTTAAGCAGCAAAGCAACACACCACCCAACTTGGGTGGGTCAGCAATATCGAAGATAAAGGAAAGGAGAAGATTTGCGAAAACGAATTGTACAAAACCGGACGCCAATATCTAACGGTACTCCTCATGCATGACACTATTGTGCACGAGTTGACTACAATAACAAGTAGGTCCACACGACGTACGTTTCGCCGTGTTGTTAGTGACGGCTCATCAGGTGTGCAAAATTTAAACTCGGATACTGAGCCAGTAATACAATGTAAAAAAGAGAAGAAACGCATGAGAACGAGTTATGCGTAACTCGTTCTCATGTGTTTCTTCTCTTTTTTATATTTTATTACTGGCTCAGTATCCGAGTTTAAATATATTATGTAATATCACTACAATCACGTTCTCACTGTGGTAAATTACCATGTATAGCCACACCCACACATTACCAACTACCATGTATAGCCACACCCACACATTGCCAACTACCATGTATAGCCACACCCACACATTACCAACTACCATGTATAGCCACACCCACACATTGCCAACTACCATGTATAGCCACACCCACACATCACCAACTACCATGTATAGCCACACCCACACATTACCAACTACCATGTATAGCCACACCCACACATTACCAACTACCATGTATAGCAACACCCACACATTACCAACTACCATGTATAGCCACACCCACACATTACCAACTACCATGTATAGCCACACCCACACATTACCAACTACCATGTATAGCCACACCCACACATTACCAACTACCATGTATAGCCACACCTACACATTACCAACTACCATGTACAGCCACACCCACACATTACCAACTACCATGTATAGCCACACCCACACATTACCAACTACCATGTATAGCCACACCCATACATTACAAACTACCATGTATAGCCACACCCACACATTACCAACTACCATGTATAGCCACACCCACACATTACCAACTACCATGTATAGCCACACCCACACATTACCAACTACCATGTATAGCCACACCCACACATTACCAACTACCATGTATAGCCACACCCACACATTGCCAACTACCATGTAAAGCCACACCCACACATTACCAACTACCATGTATAGCCACACCAACACATTACCAACTACCATGTATAGCCACACCCACACATTGCCAACTACCATGTATAGCCACACCCACACATTACCAACTACCATGTATAGCCACACCCACACATTACCAACTGCCATGTATAGCCACACCCACACATTACCAACTACCATGTATAGCCACACCCACACATTACCAACTACCATGTATAGCCACACCCACACATTACCAACTACCATGTATAGCCACACCCACACATTACCAACTACCATGTATAGCCACACCCACACATTACCAACTACCATGTATAGCCACACCCACACATTACCAACTACCATGTATAGCCACACCCACACATTACCAACTACCATGTATAGCCACACCCACACATTACCAACTACCATGTATAGCCACACCCACACATTACCAACTACCATGTATAGCCACACCCACACATTGCCAATTACCATGTATAGCCACACCCACACATTGCCAACTACCATGTATAGCCACACCCACACATTACCAACTACCATGTATAGCCACACCCACACATTACCAACTACCATGTATAGCCACACCCACACATTACCAACTACCATGTATAGCCACACCCACACATTACCAACTACCATGTATAGCCACACCCACACATCACCAACTACCATGTTTAGCCACACCCACACATTACCAACTACCATGTATAGCCACACCCACACATTACCAACTACCATGTATAGCCACACCCACACATTGCCAACTACCATGTCTAGCCACACCCACACATTACCAACTACCATGTTTAGCCACACCCACACATTGCCAACTACCATGTATAGCCACACCCACACATTACCAACTACCATGTTTAGCCACACCCATACATTACCAACTACCAACACCTCTACACACTTTTACAATCATATTCAACGGTCCCATCGAGAGTGCTTGGAAGCTCAAGGCCCTACGCTATGCTTTTTTGGTTAGCTCACCATGCATGTTATTAGAACTGATGTAAATGTTTTTACCCATTGATTGGCTACATCAAACTTTCTCTTTGCAGTCGAGGGTAATACTACACCGTCTGCCACCTTGATGACCTAGGCAAAATGTTATATATTTTTCATTTCTCCTATTGTATTTTCAAGACATAACCTAGGATTCGAACACGCACTATCGCCCTGCATGCATTCCCCGATACACTTCGCATACATACTCATTCTTCCAAGTTGCTTCACGTTATGATCTTGCATTTCAAAGCCCTATTTGAATATTGTTGCCATGGCCAGCTGTCTTTGATGGTATGGTACAGGACAGGTACGGGATAGCGCTAGGCATGCCGACGGCACAAACAAACAAACAAACACGGAACGAGAGAGCTTGGAAGCTCAGGGCCCTACGCTATGCTTTTATGCTTTTTTGCCTAGCTCATTGTACATGTCATTGGAACTGATGGAAATGTTTTTTTCCGTTGATTGGTCACATAATTGTATTGCAAAAACGTTTCAATCAGTTTGAATATGAGTTATTATTACAGGGTGCCACAGAGCTCTCGGCCATTGTAGAAAATGTTGAGTCACCTCCATCATTACACTGCGCTCTTTAGCTGACTAGACTCTCCTGCACACAACCATCACCATTGCGAGGACACTTCCGTAGACGATATTGATAAAATCCTTCAGACAGCAGTTTCGCTAATACATAGCTCATCAGTGAAGGTAGATGTTGAATGATTAGAAAATATAAACCAAACTGCTACTATATAGGGGGTTTCCACATACAAAACTGGCATTGCTCACGTGATAACGCGGGAAAAGGAAAGTGTGAAGTACTGTTGACGCGCATTGGACATGCATGCAGCGTCGGAAATTCGGCGCGGAAAATCAATCACTATTCAATGCAGAAATAACGTGCCAGAATCAGAGTACTATGTAGCTAGTGAGAGTCTGTGTACTAGTATTGCAGTTGTCCGAGCGCCATGAAGGTCTGCGAACGCACCTCACGACCCACCGACGTCGACAGCCACATCAGCCCCTGGGGCATGACACTGTACTGCTCGCCCATCGCGCCAAGACGCTTGGCAGTCACTAGGCTTCATGCCACCGATATTGTCCGCAAGCTACCTTGTTATCTGCCCATCACCCACTGCCGCTGACACGCTGGGAGGCCCCGCGGCATTCGCCCAGTATATCATCGTCAGAGCTGTGTAGACGGTACAACGCTGGTAGAAACAAACAGTTGGTCGTATGGTATTGCGTCCTCAGGATTGTCCCTCGACTCATCTTGTCCCTCTTCTTGCTCTGACGCTAACGGCGCACGTATCATATGATTACAGAGGGACAAGACGAGTTCCTTTTCCCGCGTTATTACCTCAGCTATGCCAGTTTTGTATGTGGAAACCCCCTATATAATAGCAGTTTGGTCTATATTTTCTAATCACTCAACATCTACCTTCACTGATGAGCTATGTATTAGCGAAACAGCTGTCTGAAGGATTTTAACAATATCGTCTACGGAAGTGTCCTCGCAATGGTGATGGTTGTGTGCAGGAAGGTCTAGTCGGCTAAAGAGCGCAGTGTAATGATGGAGGAGACTCAACATTTTGAATATGAGTTAGGCAAAAGTATTTGCAGATTTTTTTGCGGGTTGTTTTATTTCCCTTATTTCATCCACTTTTGGTTTGCTCCTTCTTTTCTTTTTATCTCTTTCAAATTTTGGCCAATGAGAAATTTTGGCCGGTGAGAAACCCAACTTTTCGCCGTCATTAAACTTTGGCCGATTGGAGTTTTCAAAAATAAATCGATCGGTATTTTTTGCTCTAACATGCATCCATTGCTCAATCATGCATCATTTGCCTCTATGACAAACTTTGGCCTGCGATTTACTTTGGCCGGTTGGTACCAAGCGGCGAAATCAGCGAAATTAAATAGCCAGCGAAAATTAGTTGATTTTAATACAGACATTGGATTTTCTGGCCTTTTGTAGTAATACATTGACCTGTTGAGCCAATGAGGTAAAAT